AAGTTCAAGAACAGCATACAATATAGTAAAAAACCGATTCTCCTTTTACGCCTGAATTTTATTAAACAACATAATAGACACAAAGTGATAATCTTATTTCAAACGAAACAATTACAAGTAAAAACAGATTATTTAGAAATCCGTAAAATCAAAATATACTTTAATCTTTGATCAAAATTTATGTCACTTGACGCTTGACATAAGTAGGGATGACAAATATTCATCAATGTTAATAAATATCGATGTTAAGCTAGAAACATCGATGTTTTTAAATCGACGGCACATCGTTGTTTTCTAGCCAAACATCGATGTTTATGATTAAAATTTCAATATATCCTTAGGGTCAACTAATGTACTCTAGATGTACTAGCTAGATGATCTAGTATATCAAGTTTAACTATTTTACTCTAGATGTCACCGGTTGCACTCGTAACTGGAGTAAACAAACAAATAGTTTTTTCTTTGCTTGCATTTTCCAAGGAAGTTGAAAATAAATCTCTTAACTTCAGCGCTCTTTGGTACCCTATAAGTTATTTTATGTTCTATGAACTCGTTCTCTCTCAGCTCTCGCGTGATTTTCTTGTGATACAAAGACAAGTGTGAAGCGAAAGTGTAATACGTGCATTTAAGTTGCTTCATTTTGTAATAAATAATAATGAAACTTCGGAATCGAAAACACAGGTATGATAATTTATTTGTTTGCTAAGAATGTTAAGTGTAAGTTTTACGTTTATTTAGTTTTGAAAACTAATTGATTTTTATACATTAAAAAAAATCGGAATGATGTAGATGTCGCTACAGTAATTCTTGATTTCTGCATGACGACCATTTCTTCCTTCTTCCGTGTATAAAATAAAATATTTTTTCAAAACTCAATAAACAACTTATATTCTATTTGTACTTTTTCGTATTTGTTTTGATAACTGTTCCGAACTTTGCAAATTTCAGTTTTTTAATATGTTAGTTAAAAGGAACGGAGATGACTATCTTTGGTCTATTCGTTTCTTGTAAAAATCAACTTTTACTAGAGTCGCCATCTAGCAGAGGTGCTTTTTAGTGGTTTCTGTTTTTTTAAATTCAAAGTCTAATAGGGTATTTGACACTATCGAAAAAAGGTTGCATTTTGTGGTCATCCTGATACATAATAATCTAATAAAGCTTATTTCTTAACATCTGCAGAAAAACATGTTTAGATTTAGTAAAATAACGTAAAGGAAATGCAATATTTTTAGGAATTTATTCAACGACGAAAACGTCCTATAATTGGTCGTCATCACAACCAATCACGATTGTGTTTACTGGCCTGGGACGTCATTAGCTGTCATGTCAAAGTAGTGTTAAAGAGATACATAAAATATCGATGCCTGTAGGTATCGAGTACTTTATAGTAATTTACTGATAACAGAATACTTTGCTGCTTCTGCTGATAAGAACTGCCAAAAAGAAATACAGAAAGAAAGAATCATTTACTAAGATTTTTAAAAAAAAACCTGGTTGGCTGTATCATTGATACAGCCATATTTTATGCGTGGATACGTCTATGTATGAATGAATATATGAGTAATTGATAAAAAAATAAATAAACAAATTGAAGACACTAAACACTAAATAAATAAATATTCGTTGCGTTCATTTGTTGAATGAAAAAAGTATTCACTAGCGCCAACAGATGGCGTTAGTGCATATACTCCTGCTGACAGAATGCCCCTCCCCCTACAGAGCAAGCATAGTTCACTTATACGCCAATAGATGGCGTTAGTGCATAAGCTCCTGCTCACAGAATGACCCCCCTGTAGAACGAAAACATAGACGTATCCACGTCAAAATCCAAGAAATAGGGAAAACGCCTTAAAAATAATTCAAAATTAGAAAGTGGATTTTGATGATATATACTGTTCTCCAAGTTAAAAACTAATAAAAAATATCATCGGGATCTGATGTCCCATTATAAAGTGCCATGCATTTAGTGGGCAGACATACTACATGCATGTATACAAAAATAATACATTCTTTTTCGTACTAATGTCTCATTCATCTGTCAATCGCATCATCAAACAGCGATTTAAAATAGTTTTCAGAAAAGTGCCAAATACCCTATTGTATTAGTTAAACGTTGATTTTTTTCGGTGTTTTGGTGAATTTCTGTATGTTATGAACAAAACTTTGTATGAAAGAGAGAAATAATGTTAAGTGTGGTATCTAATATAAAAATAACGAAGAGATAATGTCAAAATTATTAGTTGTGTGAAAGCAAAACAAAAGATATAATGTAAGAGTAGTCTTCCATTTAGACCCAAAATATCTATGTCGTATCTGTAAATAAGAGACTAGGTTCCGGTTATAATAACTGATTTGAGCTGTCATATCAGTTTTTAAAAGGTTCACTTAAAAGCATTATAATTTTCGAAAAAAAGTGACTATCAATCACGTTTGGGCTGTAGTGTCGGACAAAAAAGATATCTATTGAATTCGCATTGTTTTAACAGGCTTATCTAATTTTGAATATTAATTTAAAATTATAAAACTCTTAATGATTAAATTTTTTGAAATAAAACACTCTCTAATGCGACTTCTTTTTAAATGTAACGTCTAATGTCATTAAATAAATATTAATCAAATTCTGCCTCCACATCTCCACAATTTGTTAATTTAATAAAGACAAATATTTTTAGTTTTTTTTTTATCTCTCCAGTATGGCAATTGCCGGTTGGAACTAGTTCTCGCCAAGGCCACCAAGGTCGAAACGCCTGGTTTTCAAACAATATGGATGACACTCCTCGACAACCCGACCAAAGTCATATACAAACATACCAAAGTTGCGCACAAACCAGCTTGGTCGGGGCTCAGATCTTCTACAGTGTGGACGGCTTTTTACTTTTCGGTGTAATGTCTATTGCCACACTTGACGTCTGTGTAGGTTTAAAATTATACAGTGTTATTACAAAAGAGATGTTAGACAGGGTTTTACCATGTGTTTAAGTAAACAATGTCTAAGAATATAAACCCTGTTTAAAATGATGTTTAACTTTGTCTATTACAAATCCATTTTTAGTCGTAGTCTAACTAACGCTGATTTAAACATGCAACCCGTAAAGCATTCGTTCAGTCAGCTTTCATTCGTTCATACACGTTCCATTATATGCACATCTTAAACAGACTTATGATAAATTCTAATCGTAAAAAGATATGTTCAATAACGTATTAGCTAATAACTTTCAAAAGTAAAAAAGAAAGTACAAAATTAACGTTTTTAAACTGGCACTTCTATTCATAATTCATATTAGAGTAAGATTAAGTAAAACTATAGCGAAATAATATGAAGAAACGGAACAACGACTACCTGATGCCGAACCCAACGCCGCACATGTTCACAAGCTGTGAACAGACACAGAAGCTATGCACACATGCACATGCTACGTGTATTTATTTGCAGATCTATACTTTCATCTCGAGGATTATTTGGAATATCGTCTTAAATAATTTCATATATTTTGTCAGCAAACAATCCACTAAATATGTACTTTTTTTATATCAAAGTTCATTGTATTGCTCAAATGGATTAATTCGCGTTCGGTTTACTTACGCGTCCTAAAAGCTTTCCATGTAATCTAAATCGACCATATCAATATAATCTTTATCTTAAGAATATGGATGAATTTTCAACAAAGCGCAACCTATTTTGAGGTTAGACACGCGTTAAACAACTCTCAACGAGTGTTTATATTTTAAACAATGTTTAAGCGATGTTTAGCCTTAAACAGTGCCTAAATACGATTTTGTAATAGAAGTTTTTTTAAACACGTGTTCAACGCTTGTTTATCTTTTTTGTAATAACACTGATATACTTTAAACCTTATTTGAGCACATGTCTGCCACAGGCATTCGTGAATGTGTGCAAAAATGCACATTTGGAGTTTGCATGGACGTAACCGAATATGATGTATAAATATAAAACTATGGTATCAAAGGGTATTTATTATTATTTCAAATCATTTGAATTTCGAATGTCACTTCTTGTTCGACCTCTTAACAGTTAGTACTGTTTTGACTATTTGTTGACTACTACCTATAAAGATTTTTTATATTCTTTACTTCTTTTAAACTAATGATTTTAAGACAATAATCAAGAAAAACAGATATTATATATTTAGTGATTTTCTTCAATTACAAAATGCCTTCTGAAACTCCATGTACCTGTAGCACTCCAAGCGACTGTCAAGTAAACACTAATGAATTGGTAATACATCTCTATGTTTAAAAGAGCTCCATAAGATACTAGTGCAATTCTGTATGCCACAATGATCAATAAAAACTACTTATTAAGTATGAATCTCTAATGGCTTGTTTACACGTTATAGTAAGTAACAAGTTAAGATTTATTTATTAACATATGAGCTTAATTAGAATTAAATTTTAACTTGCTACTTATTACTTATTTAAAATTAAAAGTTTATTTGCAAACCAAATGTGTATTTGTTTGGTGACATGTACTTAATCACTTAAAATTTAAATTCTAAATACTATTAGTTACTAGTTATCTACTACTAACTGCACGTTACTTTATTTAGTTAGTGCAACAAAATTGCTACCATTATTAACACAATATAATTGCACATTTATCGCAACTATCGCTTTGTCCGCGACTTTTTTCGCGTGATGCAATTAGTTTAGGCAGTAACTTCAAAAAAGCTTAATCAAATATTTAAAACATAAATACGAAGTTTTACGGTTAAATATTTGACGAATTTTCAAAAAAAAATGAACTTAATAGAAATATCGAAGGTAAGTATTAGTAGGAATTTATATTACATATTAGTAGATATGCCTGGGAGGGAAGTAATTTAAAAAACTGCACTTGGCAACCCTGACTGTAGCGTGCGGAAAACTGTGTGAGAAATAATATATACTGTTTATTAGATTTATTACCCTTATTAATTATTGTCATCGAATTTAAAATAAGAACATTTTATCACCTGTCTAATCGTATTGAGAATAAATATAATATGATCACGGATGTGACCGATGAATTGGATCAAAGTGATAGCGGAATGGAATCTCTAATTGCCAGTAAAGATGATACGCCTGAACGTAGACCTGAAGAGTCCTTTATTACCCCTTCGGTACGTCAAAACTTTTCTGTCCATATATAAAGATTGATTGATGTCATTGTTTGATGATTTAAACTTTATTTCAGCTTGGATCTTCACCTACAGCAGGTCCACTCAAGGAATATGATGATGTGAGTACACATAGTTGTTATCGTACTCTAATAATACGTTTCTAACATATACGTAGATGTTGTGTTAATAACATTTATTGTAATACAACCAATCATGCTTTAACATTATGTAAAGAGGTTATGTTACATAGGAACCAGATGAAACACTCTCGGAAAGATTATGGGGTCTGACAGAGATGTTTCCAGTTTGTGTCCGGAATGGAACTTACACAGTCACCACCAAAACATGGTATGTCATAGCTTGTAATTATCAGCATATATAGCATAACAAACTCGATAAACACTTTGTCCTTACCATTTATCAGTTTTAGGAATGTCTCACGAGAGTGAGATATCATATAGTGCTTATACCCAAGAAAAGTGACATTTGAGTGTAGATAAAAGATTCTTGAGTTTGTTATATATATATTTGTGTTACCACATTTGTGTAATGTCATCACTAAAATACATTGATTTTAATAAAAAAAAAATTGTCTTTTAAATTTTTTTATTAATAAAATTTCGGGGCGGAGTTGGGTTGGCTGAAGGAACACAGTCAATTTTTCTCATATAAAGGACTAATAAAGTCATCTATGTGTTGAGAAAAAAGGAAAAATTTACCTAACCTAAAACATTAACTAAACAAATTTATTGTGAAGTCATTGATAAATTACGATCTCCATAACTGAACCTGTTTTCATATAAATGATCATTGTAACATTATTTACTTACAGTATTTCCCTCTGCCCTAATTGTCTTTTTTTTGTGACAGGACTGGCATGAAATCTTTATATGGTTTGTCACGCTCAGTCATGTGGGTAGTGGCCAGTTCATCAGTCATTCTTTTTGCACCTGTTATATTTGAAGTGGAGCGAGCACAAGTGGAAGAAATGCAGAAATCACAACAAAAACAGGTGATTATGATTTCACTTGCTTTTCCTCCCTATTTCACCCCCTAAGGTGTTGAATTTCTTAAAATACTTTATTAGTGCTTATTTACATTATGAATGGAATTTCGAAATTCTAGGCTGTGCATTCACATGTAAGTCAGTCAGATTTGCCTTTTATATATGTATGTATAGATTATTATTATTTTGATCAAGATGTGCCTCCATAGCCAAGTGGGTTGCACTCCAGTTTCAAGGTCTTTTCGCAGTCCAGTCAATTTAGAAAATTAACTTTTGTATAACTCTGGTCTGGATGTAGTGATATCTTTGTCTCAGAATTTCATAATATGTATATGATTTTCTTAATGAAACATGGTTAAAAAATCCAATTAATCAAATATGATAGTGTATGTTATGTTATTTTATATTTATTTATTAATTTTGCACTATGTAATTATTTATGTTTACATGTTGCCTTTATACTAATGAAATAATAATAAGGCTCCACAACATAAATTTATACATTAGGACATAGTTTTTTTTATTATGAACTGTTCAATGGCTTGATATCCTTTGCTGTTGTAAGAAACCATATCCATATTGAAATATTTTTTCAGAAATTATCTTTTTAATCTGATGCATCATCACCCTTTAACAAAGAGCAGCTATTTACATTTTTTTTTCTTTTAGGTATTATTGGGAACCAATGCTGCTCTGTCTGGACCTATGCCGAGTATGCCACCAATGCCACGATAAGCCAAAAATACTTATGATTACAGGCTGTAGGACTCGAGCGTCATCCTGAATGCTTTAATATTAGTTTGTTAGTTTAATTAAATAGGTACTTTTATTGTAATATTATTGAGGATTATTTTTTCCTGTTAAAAAAAAGCAAATTTTAGAAAGTATATCCAATATTAATAGTGTTTAATGGCATTTATTGTATAATATGAAATCACTTCACTTTTAAACAACATTGCTATCTGTAAACTTCTGACAGTTTGTATGGTATGTATGTATGTATAGTATCAATTTCTGTTTTATTTCATGTATATTATAAAGTGAAAGATTGATAAGATTTAGTCACATTATTAGTTAATAAAGGTACTGTTAAATACAAGGTCTTATCTATTAATTGAATTCCAATTTAGTATTTTACCTGACAGGTATGTCAAATTGCCGAGGTTGATATTAAACTCTACCCTTAAAATATTGTTTTAAAATTGAATGGTATAATTTTATTGATCTAGTCTGATTTCAGGAACTAGTTTTTTTTTTTTCAAATACTTCCTCGTACCGTTTCGTTGATTGAAGCAATATAATAGCGCCAGAGTATGCTGCTGAACCAATCAAGAGTTGGTCGATCACGATTGCGTTTGAGAATAAGGGGGCTTGTTCGTGAACAAACATGTGTCCGCATTACTTTTACATAAAGGAACGCGTAGACTGTTTCTTTTAGACTAACCCAAGAAATCGTTTAAAATATCCTTAAAATCAATAAACAAGGAAAACTAAAAGTATGAAGCAAATTCTGATACATAAATTGAGTAATTGTAATTAATATATGTAGTAATATCTTTGAATACTTAGTACTTTATTTATGTATGTGTAGTTATAGTAGATAAAGTATGTGTAGATAAAGGGAAACTAAAATTATTTTTGCTAGCAACACCAGAGGCTACATACAGCTGCGTCACTGTCAACATGACATTAAATGTATTTTCATGATAATTGTTACCCTCATTTATTTTCTACTCTTTTATGTCGCTCTAGACCTACACTTAAGACGCATTAATAAACGGGTTTGGCAGATTTTTAGGTAGTGTCGCGTAGATTTACCATTTTTGAAACTTTAGGGTATTAAGTGTCGGACCCTATATTAATTTATCAGAAGGTTAAATAAGAAAACACGTTCACTCTATAACTCCGTATATTAGCGACTAGTTAAAAAGTCTTTGTTCTACAGACGCTAACAAATTGTTTATAAGCATCTTACAACTAAACTGTACATGTACATGTAGGCATATGTGTCCCTACAGTACTCCCCCTCTTACAATAAAAAATAAAAGTACACATCACATATTATAAGAAATGTAAAAGAACAGTATAATAAAGAACAATAAAAATAAAATAAACAATTTTTAAATAAATGACAAGTAATTAAAGTGGTTGCCATATAAAATAATATGTAATATAAAACATTTAATTTTTATCAAATACAAATTCTTACTTTATTAGTAAACAAATTAAATTAATTTACATGTTTCCTATCAAAAGCTTATCACTAAACAAAATTACTATTTAATAGTATCTAAATTCTAACCAATCTAAAATTATATTTATTATACTCTACAAAAACATGTTGAATATGGAATTGAACCTATAATTTCCACAACCACTAAACCTAATATTCACTATGCTACTTATTCACTACTATTCACGTATCGTATCGTTTTTAATAACAAATGAGTAATATTTACATTAACAAATTGTGGGAATGCGGCGATCTTGTAAGCTGAGTACAAAAATTGGTTGACAAAAGTTCTTTGTTTAAATCAGTACCCACTGTTATTATTTCTAGAGCTATACCGATGAAATTGAAATCTTGAGAACAGAACTACCTATTATTTAATTTACAAAGACTTCCGCTTGCCACTACGCGTAGTTCTCGGCTGTAGAGCTTTACTGGAAGTGACCTCGTTATCTAAACTAGAATCGTTACTCTTATTAAAATTCGAACTATAACTAAAATCTTTATCACTATTTATAAAAAATGCTGGTTTTAATCTTTCTATTGAAATAGTTTTCGTCTTATCTCCTATTTTAATATCGAAAATTTTGCCTTTCCGACTTACAACGTCGTAAGGGCCATCATAAGGAGGTTGCAAAGATATACGAAATACGTCATTTCTTATGAATACACTTTTACAACTATTTAATTCGCTAGGCAGAAATAACGAACGTGAATTACCATGACTTGACGGTTTAGGTCTCAAACTTTTAATGGAATCGCGAAGATTTTGTAAATATTCCGAATCCGAGCAATTTAATTTGGAATCTTCATAAAAATCACCTGGCAAACGAATTGTTTTACCATAAGTTAACTCTGCTGCACTAACGCCACTGTCACTGCGGGTTGCGGCTCGTAAGCCTAACAACACGACTGGAAGCTCGGTCACCCAGTTACTATTGCAGTTTAAACGTGCCGTAAGTGACACTTTTAGTGCTCGATGCCATCGCTCAACCATGCCGTTACTCTGCGGATGATAAGGTGTTGTTCGCATTTTAAAAATACCTAGGTACTTCATTAGCTGACTGAAAAGATCACTCTCAAATTGTCTACCCTGGTCGCTAGTAAGCTTCGAAGGGCTTCCAAATCGAGATATCCAGCCTTCAAATACTACCTTGGCTACTGTTTCAGCTGTAATATTGTGAACTGGAAAAGCTTCCGGCCATCCGGTACAACGATCTATCATTGTTACGCAGTATCTATGTCCATCTGCCGATGTAGGCAACGGGCCTACAATATCTATATGAACATGTTAGAAACGGTCTGCACGCTCAAACTCTCCTAATCCTGCTATCGTATGCCTATTAATTTTTAATCTCTGGCAACTAAAACAGGTTCTAGTCCAACTCGCTATATCCTTAAGCATATTAGGCCAAAAGAAACGTTGTTTAATTAAAGTTCTGGTAGTCTTAACACCGGGGTGACTTAAATCGTGAACCGAATGAAAAGCAATTTTCCTGAATTTATCTGGTAAATATGGTCTAATTCTGTTAGATGAAATTTCGCAATAAATATATTTTTCGCAGTCTGGCAATAATATTTGTTTAAATTGTAATTTACTATCTGTTGCTTGCAACGCTTGCTGTAGGTATTCGTCACTAAGTTGTTGCTCAGCTATTTCTCTAAAATCGAGTAATGTAGGACAACTGATCGTTTCTATCCGCGAAAGTGTATCTGCGACTACATTTTGCTCACCGCTGATATGACGAATATCGGTGGTAAACTCGCTAATGTAAGATAATTGACGAATTCTTCTAGGGCTTTCTTTGTCGTTATTTAATTTTGAAAATGCAAAAACGAGAGGCTTATGGTCAGTATAAATAGTCAGTACACGGCCTTCCACTAAATTTTTAAAATATTTGATAGCCATAAATACTGCTAACAATTCCCTATCATAAGTAGAATATTTCGTTTCAGCTTGTGAAAGTTTTTTTGAAAAATACCCTAATGGTTGCCAATTGTTGTTATTTTTCTGTTGTAATACAGCACCTACACTAGTATCCGAGGCATCGGTCATCAGCGCTAAATTAACATCTGGTAAAGGATAAGACAGTGTAGCGGCTTTCCTTACACTTCTTAAATGCTTCGACAGCCTTATCAGTCCACACAATCAAAGTTTTATCGCGTTTTTTTGTATTGTGCAAATATTTATTCAATTCGAATTGATATTGAACAGCGTTTGGAATGTGTGCACGATAAAAATTTAACATACCGAGAAAACGGCGTAGTTGATCGACTGTTTCGGGAAATTTACAATAGCCTGTACTTTATCTTGAAGTGGTCGCGCACCCTCCGTAGACACTTCAAATCCTAAAAACTCAAGTGTTGACTGACCAAAAACACATTTAGATAGATTAATAGTTATTCCATATTTATCAAATCTTTCGAAAACTGCCTTTAAATGCTCTTTGTGTTGACTTTCATTTTCGCTCGCGATAATAAGGTCATCGATATAACTGAATAAAAAGTAACCCTTGTAGTACTACGGTATCCATGAAACGCTGGAATGTTTGAGCTGCGTTACGTAATCCGAAGATCATGCGCGGAAATTCAAACAGTCCAAAGGGCGTTATAATGGCAGTTTTTTCAATATCCTCCGAGGCAACCGGTACGAAATGATAAGAACGAATTAAATCTAACCGCGTAAAAATAGCTTTATTTCCCGCTAATAAATATTTAAAATCATGCCGTCTCGGAATCGGATAGCGATCCGGTTTTGTTATGGCATTTAATTTTCTGTAATCACCGCAAGGTCGAATATCACCATTTTTCTTTGGTACCACATGTAATGGACTGGCCCATTCGCTTTTAGATGGCCTACAAATGCCTAATTCCAACATGTGGCTAAACTCCTCCTTAACTTTTCTATAACGGTCAGGCGGAAGAGGTCTGGCTTTAGCGTATACCGGTGGGCCCGTAGTTTCTATATAATGACACACAGAGTGTTTAGGTGTCTCTTTGTACGATACTATTTTCGTTATGTCCGGGTAACAAAGCAATAAATCATGCCAATTACTATTACCTAAAACAGTTTTAATAGATAATTCACATTCGTTATGACTTACAACAGAGGCGAGAACATTTAAATGTGTAATTTGATCTACTAACTTGCGCGCGCTCATGTCGACTAACAGCTGATAATGGCTTAAAAAATCCGCTCCTATTATCGGCTGTTTAACATTCGCTACGATAAAATTCCATTTAAATGCTCTCCTTAAATTAAAATCTAAAATTAAAGTACGCATACCATAAGTTTTTATCTCGGTTCCGTTAGCTGCATATAGTTTGTATTTATCACTCGCACTGTAATCGGAAACGCACTTTTTCGATGCCGGAATAACCGAAACGTTCGCACCTGTGTCAATTAAGAATTTCAGTCCACTTTTTTTGTCTTTAACACATAGGCGGTTATTCGATAACCCGATACAAACCTCCGCCTCCGGCCGTATCGCACTTAGTTTCCCGCTGGTTCTTGTGGGTTGGGCTTCCGCCAATTTACGCACTTTACGGCCTCAATGCACTTTACGGCCTTATCTCCGTACCGATAATGGTAGAAACAAAGCCAATTAGGATTTCGTCGGTCTCTGGAATTCTCTCTCTCTCGACCTTGTGACGGTGCCCGACTGAATCTTTTTCCAGCACTGTAGTTCCTACCCCTGCACGGTCTACCACGATCCGCTTGCCGAGAGCGCCTTAACTCCGCCACTTCTATGCTGAGACGTGCTACCAACGCCGCCAGGTCGGATTGCTCCGTACATGTAATTTTTGACTCACGCTCTGAGGAGTTGCTGCTGGTTGATACTTCAGCTATATTGGAATGCC